AAAAAAAAAAAAAAAAAAAGCGAGCAACAACCTGCCCTTCTCAACGGCCCGAGACTGATGAGAAGGCATACGAGTAAGCGGGCATTGAAGGAACACTTTCCCCGTCAGCGCGAACAAATACGGGCCTTACCCGTCCGCCAACTCTCTTCCGATCTCCACCAACATCATTACCATCATCGTCTTCTACCGACAGTAGATCCACAATCAGCATCCGAGTCTCAGGGGGCTCCTCGACCGGTGCCCGTCCTTCCAACATCTCCACCACCCGCGCCATGCTCGGCCGCGCCTTGGCCTCGTCTTGTATGCACCACAACGCCACACAAACCATCCTCCTCAACTCCCCCTCGTCGATTCTCGCACCTCCCTCGAGAAGCCTCATGTCCACAACCTCCATCAACTTCCCCTCCTTCATTTTCTCCACCACGACCCTCGGAAAAAACTCGAACCTCTTCCTCAACGACCCTTCGACCCGGCCTGTCTCGCGTATGTTCCTCCGCCCGCCGATCATCTCGAGGACCACCATCCCAAACCCGTACACGTCGCACTTCTCTGAAGCCCCGCCGCCAGAGAGCCACTCGGGGGCGAGGTAACCTCGGGTCCCACGCACGCCCGTCACCACCCGACTCTCCTCCCTTCCCTTGAGCCTCGAGAGCCCGAAATCTGAGACGAGCGCGCGGTACCCCTCGTCTATCAAGATGTTCTCGGGCTTCACGTCGAGGTGGAGCACGCACGATCGGCAATCATGGTGAAGGTATGAGAGCGCGCGAGCCACGTCGAGCGCGACCCCGCGCCTCGACTCCCACGACAAACATCCGCTCCTCCGATTCGAATTATTCGGCCCATTTTTTTTACCCGACTCGGGGAAAATCCAGTTGTCGAGTGAGCCGTTGTGGATGAACTCGTAGACCAAGAAGCGGGGCCCGCCGGAGGATGACGGGCCCGACGTGCAGTAGCCGAGGAGGCGAACGAGGTTGATGTGTTGGACGCTCGCTAAAGCCGACACCTCGGATTTGAACGTCCGGTCGCCGCGCTCGCGGTCCCCATTGTCGTCTATCCGTTTGACGGCGACGGGAGTGCCGTCGGCCAGTATGCCTCGGAAGACGGAGCCCGACCCGCCACGCCCGATGATGGCCCGGAACCCGTCGGTGGCTTCCTCGAGCTCCCGGAGGCGGAACCGCGCGGGGACTCCAGCGACTTTGCGGAGGAAGCTGTACTCAACGCGGAGCTCGCGGCCTTGGGAGTCGAGTTGTCGCTCGAGGCGGGCCCGACGGGCCCGGAAATGGGCCCGGAGGACGGCCACGGCGAGGACGGAGAGGATGGCGGCCACGTCGGCGCCGCATATGAGGAAGAATGTTTTGGAGGGGCCGAGTGTGAGGCGGGCAATGATAAGGAGAATGATTAAGAGGATGATTATGGAAAGGGCAATCAAGTTTGCTCTTTTGTTCTCCATAAAGGAAAATAGTAAAAGGAAAAATCTAAAAAAAAAAAAAA